CCTGCCACCTTAGGTGTATGTGGCTGGCACCTTAGCCGCTTGAGTCACAGGCGCCGAGCCGCCAATAATAATTTTTAAAATTACATATGTAAGATGAGTGTTTTAAATTATAAGGGTAATACTTAGTCACATTTGTAAATTTACTAATCAAACCATGCCAGAGGGTATAAAAAGTAAAAGTTCCTGTCCCTCAATCTTAATCTAGATTTGTAAGAACCTCTCACTATCCCACCTGCCATTCTTATTTCCTAGCTGTAACTGCTATTAACAATTTGTAAGAGTATTTTATGTAAAAGTCTAACGTCTTTTTAAATTTTTATTTTTTGTGTTGGAGCTGTGAGTTCTTTGGAATTGTGAATATTCTTTTGAAATATGGAGCCCAGCTAAATGAACTTCATTTGGCATACTGCCTGAAGTATGAGAAGTTTTCAGTATTTCACTACTTTTTGAAGAAAGGCTGCTCATTAACATCATGGAACCATATATCTGAATTTATAAATCATGCAATTAAAGCACAAACAAAATATAAGGAATGGCTGCCACATCTCCTGCTTGCTGGATTTGACCCACTGACTCTACTATGCAGTTCTTGGTAAGATATCCTACTGTAGTCGGGATTACCCTTTCTAAGTGAATATACTATCTTTTTTTTTTTTTTTTTTTTTGCAGTTTTTGGCCGGGGCTGGGTTTGAATCTGCCACCTCCAGCATATGGGGCTGGCGCCCTACTCCTTTGAGCCACAGGTGCCGCCAAATATACTGTCTTTCATTTCCCCCAGTTTCTTGAGATCCCTGTGTTGAGAGGAGGATATATCTGTAACTATGCATGTGTACGTGTGTATTTTGACTGTGATGGCTGGACTGAGGTGAAGGAGTTGGGGGCTGCTAATAGTGAGGTTGCATTCAAGTACAGAGGCCTAGAAAAAGGTAAGAGATGACTGAGGGAGATAGGAGGGGATAGATGTCATTGAACTCTTTTGATAGAAGTATTTCTTCTACATTTAGCCAATCTTCATGCTCCTCTTAAAATACCTGTGACAGGAGAAAGAATGGTTGTAGCTGCTTTGGAGGTTTCTGTTATCTGTTCCTCAGCCAACCAGATTGAATATTCCTGCCCTATAGCATCTCATCTATTTGAAATTTGTCTCCGTTAATGAGCACTGATTAAGGGCAGCTTTCTGCAAGAGATTATATGAATGTTGAGGCAGAGTTTTTCCTGGGCAAGAAGAGGAAGACTGTTTTTACCAGCTTCCAGTCTTTGCAGAAATTGTTACTGTCCTGAGATGGGCAGTTGGAGGATAGTGAGAGACCTCTTTTGGCCTGATAAGTCAAATGAGAAAGTGAAATGGAAGTCTTCAGGATAGTGGATAACGTGTTATTTCATAGAATATTGGTAAAACCTCTAGAAGTCTTTATTTTTATGCTTCATCTCTCATTCCAAGTGGTGCCTGTCTCCAAGACACTCACTTTCTTCTCAGCCACACACTGGTGTTTCTCAACTGAAGCTATTAAGTTGGACTCCATGTGACTTGCCCAGAACTGTCAGCCTTCACACTCCTTTCTGGTTTCTAATTTATTTATTACTTTAGCCAAAACTCAGAAGACTGCCTGACACTTACTGTTGTAGTTTGAACTTGTTATCCAAATTTGTTGGGTTAGAAACTTAATTTCAGAGTTCAAATGGAGCTTTTGTGAGGTAATTAGATAGGGTCATCAGGCTTGAGCCCCATGATGAACTGGTGGCTTTATACGAAGAGGAAGAAACCTGAGCTGGCACAGTTTTTGCACTCTTGCCATGTGATGCCCTTACCACCATGTAATGACAGCAAGAATAGCCTCACCAGACAGGCTCCTTGAATTGGATTTCCCAGCTTCCAAAAGTGTTAGAAATAAATTTCTTTTCTTTTTTAATTACTCAGTTTCAGGTATTCATTCATAACAATAATTTTTCAGACTGAGACAGAAAAGTGGTACTGAAAAGTAGGGCTGTTGATAACAATGATTAACTGAAAATGTGGAAGTGGCTTTGGAATGGGTAATGCATAGAAGCTGGAAAAGTTTGAAGAAGTCTAGAAATAGCCTCTATTACAATAAACAGAGCATTTAGAGTGATTCTGCTGAGTGTCCCTAAAATGAGAAGATTAGAAAAGTCTGAATCTTCTTAAAGATTATTTGAGTGGTTGTGACCAAAATGTCGATAGAAATATGGACAGTAAAGGGCACTCTGACGTCTCAGATGAAAATGAAGAATATCTTGTTGAAAGATGCAGTAAAGGCTATCCTTGTTAAGAACTGGCATAGAACTGGCTGTGTCTATGCCTGAGGGCCTTATGGAAAGTTGAACAGAAGAGCCATGAATATAGGATATCTGGAGGAAGAAATGTCTAAGTAGAAATAGAGCAAATAGAGTAGAGCAAAGGGATGACTTTAAGACAGAATTCATAATTAGAAGGGAAGCAGAGTAGGAAAATTTGGAAAGTTCTCAGCCTGGCTATGTGGTAGAGAATGAAAGACTGTTTCCAGGAGGTACATAAAAATAGATGTTGCCTTCCTTGGTCAGAAGTGATGCCTGAGTCCTGTCCTTCAGATTCTCAGAAGGAATTTGAGCTAAATTGTGCCTAGAGTCTCACTGCCCTTAGATTCCAAAACCTACAGGTGCTCAAATTCTTCACATAAAATGGCATATTATTTGTATATAAGCTATTCATATCCTCTTCAGTACTTTAAATCATCTCTAGATTACTTATAGTACCTAATATGCACTAACACTATGTAAATGTTATCCTGTAGTTTTAAGTGTGTATTATAATTATTTTTATTTAGGGTTTTTGATGTACTGTTGGTTGAATCTGTGGATCCAGAAGGGCAACTGTAGTTTTGTCATTTAATTTCAGGTACTTTAATCCCTTGCCTAACCTTAGGGATTTGACTAACTTTTCTTGCTTTTTCCTGCTCCCTAAGTTAGGAAAATCTTAAAAAGGGAAAAACAAAAATTAAACATTGCCTCTTTTCCTTCCCCCCAACCCCAGCCGCTTGATAAGACTACTAGTAGGAAGTGGGATTTATTTAGTTTTTTCTTTAGAAGGCTTTATAAAATATATCCTTTTTCTCCAGATCTGGTACAGCCCCTATCCCTCTAGATATAATTGAGAAATTAATGGTAATAAACCATTGTATGTGCTGTATTTATTGGATATTTGTAATAGAAAAGAGTTAAGAACAGATTAATAGAAGAGTTAAATACAGATTATTTTGAGATAAGTTATAAAACTTCCATTTTTCTGAACTGAGAATGCTGATTGCATATATGTTACTCCTAAGGAGTAACTTTAGTCACTTTATATTCATTACCAAAAATACGTAGTATGATGAAAATTTTCACTCTAGCAGTAAAAATGCTTAATGTGATAAAATTTTTGTTCACTGATCTTTTATTGAATGGGTAAAGCCAGTGTTTACACTGACTATGATAAATGTTTTGCCTTCTTTGATCAAATTTACATTCAAAGAGCTGTTATAAAAAAATTCTATAAAAATTCCAATATGTTGTTAAAATGGATTTTGGTTATTTTTTATTTATAATATCACTATGTAAGTCTGTTGCTTAATCTTTGTCATGTAAATTATAAATGTCTTTCCTAGGTATTGCTTGTCTTAGTTTTTTAAAATGTATCTGGCTGAATAATTGCCTGTCACAGGATAATCCACAGAAGTTGAAATATTTTTCAACTTTAAATGCAAGACTAAATCCTCTCCTGCCCTCCTTCCCATGTAATGGGAGAATAATAGGACATAAATGTCATCTGTGCATTTAGTTGATTAACTGTCACTTGTTTATGATTGTACAACTGCTCTGTACAATGTAGTGGTCAATGTAATATACTAGTAACAATACATTTTTAGTGGCATTATCAGTGTTGGTAAAATAAATTCACCATTATATTAACTAAAGCTGTGCAAACAGATTTACTTCTTGTGTGTATGTTCAGATAACTGCATAAAAATGACTTGTGTTTGGTCATAGTAAAACCTAAAGCACATTAAGGCAGAAAAGTGAAACCATTAAAAAAGAAATAATGAACTAGAACCAAGTAACCTTCAGTGTGGGACTCCTAGAAAGCTGACATTGTTTATCTTTGAATATGTTTTATCCTTTCATTTAGTTACAATATTTCCTGATAAGTTGTGATTTCTCTGAGAGTTGACAGAGAAGTAAAATATTTAACCAAGGCATTTGTGCTATACTTTAAGTTCTTCCTTAATATATTTGCATATTGGAGAATTAAGAATTTGGAAAATGATTTTCATAATCTCTAATCAGTCGTTTCAAGGATACTTTAACTCTGAATTACTAGAAATAGGTTGTCTTTGAGATGATAAGTTTAGAGTAATATTCAGTTTATTTCCTTTCCTTCTATTTCTTTTCCTTCTTCTTGCTCAGTAATATCTCTAAAAAGGGAATCTTGAAAAGAATGTTTTTAATAGTAATCACCACAAGCTATAATCATTTTATTTATCTTCAAACATTGTGATAGTAGAGTAGTATCTAAATGAGTATGGTATGGGTAATCTTGTTAAAATTTAGAGTTCTCTTTATACTTCACAAAATTTTATGTCTATGTTTTGGTACTTCTTAAAATGTAGTACTGAAGTTTTCAAATCAGTTCTAGTAATCTCAGTTACGTATCTACTGTATAACATTTTATAGTATTAAAAGTATATTTACTATGTTACTATCTTATTTTTATAAATAGTCACCTGTATGTATTGCTCTCATTTTAGAGTCCATGTGCTGGGGCTTAAAGAATTCAGGCAAAGTAGTCTACGTATTATTTGTAGTCAGGACTTTTCCTAAACTAGTGCTCTTTCCATTAGGTTTCAAGAGCTTGTAAGATTTGGTTTAGCCTCTTGGGTGGATTGATAGGGAATCTGATGTTATTTTGAAGGAACAGAGAAAGAACTATGTCTGGAACCCCTTTCAGTCTTCAATGATGAATTTTACTCTGATGTGTCGTTTAGATTTGAATCTATAATGGGGATGGTTCTTAGAGGAGAACAGCTATGGAACAACTTCCATATCCCTGGAAGTTGGTCAGAAACAAGCTATCTCTTTTATATTCGGTTTAGGAATAGTTTGGGGTGTTTGCCTTTTAGGATTATTAAATTATGTGTCTGGAAGGATGGCAGTCTGCATTTGGCAAGATGGTCCAACAGAGAGGAGATAATGGCAGATCCACTGGTAATATTGGTGCTGTTTCCAATGGGAAGGAAAATTCCTCCTCTCTCAGAGTAGAAATTCCTCACGTCTGCTCTTGGACAGTTACACAAGTTAGTGGGAACCTATAGGTTATTCATATGTACTGAAAATGCCTCTGGTCACATAAATACTTTCTGCACTCTGGTTTTGTCTACCTTTCTCATTAAGATTTTGTATGTGATGTTTTGTTTTCAGGAGGAATCTTTGACATATTTTATATCTTATAACATGTTAACATCTTGCCAATGTAGGATTGACTCAGTCAGTGATGACACCCTTATCTTTACTTTGGAGTTTACTAATTGGAAGAGACTTCCACCAGCTATTGAAAAGATGCTCTCTGCTCGTGCTTCAAACTCTTCTCGGACTCTACAACAACATATTGGTAAGAAAGAATAATTTTTTTTTTCTTTCTTTTCTTTTTCTTTTTTTTTGAGACTGTCTCTGTCTGTCGCCCTTGGTTGAGTGCTGTGGCATCACAGCTGACAGCAACCTCAAATTCTTATGCTAAAGGGATTCTCTTGCCTCAGCCTCCCAAGTGGCTGGGACTACAGGTGCCCTCCACAATGCCTGGCTATTTTTTGTTGTTGGTTGTTGTAGTTGTCATTGTTCCAACTTGATAGCCTGGGTGTACGTGGCCAGCACCCTAACAATTGAGCACGGGTGCTGAGCCAAGAAAGAATAATTTTCAAACACACTTCACTACTTTTCCTTCTCTTGCTTCTCCAACTGTGTTGTAATTTTAAGTGAAAAGATTCATTGGAAAACACATGTCAATTTGGATATAATTTGCATTTTTTTCTGTAAGGAAAGGGTGGGATTGTGGAGGAGAGGGATGGTAATTTCCTTCAGTGGAAATCATATCTGACTTTATAAGTTAGCCCAAGGAGCAAATAAAGAAAAGCAGATGTTGGGGGCGGAGCCAAGATGGCGAACTGCAGCCAGCTTTTTACAGAAGCTCCCGTCCAGAAGGAGGCTGAAAGGACAGAACCTTAGCAAATTAGCTGATGGTTTGGAGCAGAGACAAGAGAGAAGATTGAAGACTGCACTTCAACCTTCCTGAGGCGAGC